ATATTAAAATAAAACTTATAATAAGTACTCGATCTATAGATGTGTTAATCCACGTGTATAGGGTTCTTAAATTGTTTAAATTTTAATGAAATCAAAATATAGCGTATACAATACTCGTCACCATACTGTTTTTTTTTATCTGTGAAACGTTATACACGTGCGTATTAAGGGTCATTAATTTACACGAAGAATATACTCAAATATAGTAAAAACACTAAATGTTTATATATATATTATGTTATAGGTTATTTAGATAAAACCAAGTATATAAATGTTGTGTTAAAAATAAAATAAAAAATACGTTCCATGCGCATTTATACAAACAACAAACATACTGTTGACACTATATCGAATATATAGCTGTTTTTAGACTAAACGCGTTTATTTTTCGGTCGGCGGCCATTATATTTAGCTGTCTTCAATTAAGTCTTCGGTGTGTCAATCTATCTTGAATTTGAATAAAAATAAGAATATAGTCAATTTGTCTTAGCAGACTTATAGACTATGCAATGTAATACAATAATTRCATATTGTATTGTATTCTGTACATTATTATTATTGATTCGATTTAACTAATTCGATCATATATAATGACTTAAACGTGACATCGAATGTCAAAGACACGTACCAGTTTGTATTTTTGGCACCGTATTGTTGTATCGGTCGCAAATATCGGTGACTGGCAACCCCAACTGCCTTTCGTAATCGCCCTGTCTGAAAAATTCGTCACAGACCTTCAGACTCCATTTGCGACTCACGTCCCACGGCCTGCACGGGTTCGATATGTCAGCRCACTTCAGTGCTATCTGTAGTATGAAGTGCCGTAACTCCGGGTCCTTCATGTCCAACTCGTCGTTGTCCAGATAGTTCTGTTTAATTCAAAAAATTTAAAAAAATGATTAAAAATGGATGATACCACGAAACACATTAATAATGATTTATGAATTTATAAATGAATCACAATAAAGTAAATTGTGTCGCGAAAACACAACGCACATAAAATCTTATTTTCTTTCATATATTTATGGCAGCTGACGTGAAAATTGATCTAAAACTAAATTATTAAAGTTATTTAAATCAATTTTGTTTGTTTTTTTTTTTTTATCGTATTATATTAGAAAAAGTTTTCTGAGCAAATAGTTTGATGACTGCAGAATACAACACACATTTGTTTCTAATAATACATAGTTTATTATTTAAAATACGTTTTTTGTCCAGGTGTTTGATAAATATATTCTTATATAATATGTCTTATTAAAAATTAATAGAAAAATAAAAGATACAACTAACAAAGTGTATATGTAACTTAAAACTCCAATATGACGTGTACAATATTGATAATAGGCASAACCAAAACGTATTAGCATTGAATCACGCTGCGGTTAGACATTTAAAAACAGGGACATATATCTATTGTATATTATATATACCTCGCACTTATATGTATGGATCTGGAAAAGCACATTAAATATTCATACTCGGAGAATGTTAAATATTTTTATGGCGAAAAAGATCGTAGGAAAAAAATAATAAAAGTTTTTCCGTCCCGTTTTCAAAATGGAATTCATGAATTAAACATGAAAAGTCGAGAACGCATAAATGAAAAAAGTTTTCAGTGCATTTCAAATGTGTTTTGTATAAAAAAAAATAGATACTATATTATAATATAACCACACATACAAGTCCGGGTTAAGGGGTGAGGTAGTATTTACGGGTCCAACTCTTTCTACAAAAAATATGTTCATAATGCATACAATCAAAATAAACTTGAAAAAAAAATATATTATATATTATGTAGAAATAAATTCAAATATCAGATCCCGAAAAATTACTAAAAGTTAAATCCACTATAAATTAATATTTCACAACAGCTAGAATGATGAAGTTTGTAAATTAGTGAAAATAGGATTTACGAACATTTAACAATGTAGTTCAATGTAATAGTTATGCCTTATGCGTGATGGTATTATCAACGTAAATTAATATCAATTTCATCATCACAATATTTCTACCCATGCCCGGGTGGAGGGTGGCGGCCACTCTTCCTAAACAGCGTGAACTGCACGGAAAGCGATGCCGCCCATGACCGAGATTCGAATCCGCGAAGGTGCCCCGTCGCAACCAACGCCTTTATTCGCCCGGCCTATACACGCCTCAACATTATATAATAGTGTCAAGTTAAAAATATAATGTTAATGCGATGGATGTGGCGATTATATCTTATATTTTTGTTATTTATAATTGTGTATTATATGACTGTGTTTATCATAATATTACCTATTTTGGTAAGTCTTATTAATTATTATTATAATTTTTTTTTTGTTAATTTATTTTAAAATGGTATGGAATCCTAAAACTGAATACGACTGATGTGAATTGAAAATGTTTTAAGTGAAAAAGGTTGAAGTATGAGAGTTTAAGGTGGTACCCTATAAGTGCAGTCTGGTAATTCAGGACCCAATGAATATCCTTAACCCAG